AGAGAGAGAGAGAGAGAGAGAGAGAGAGAGAGAGAGAGAGAGAGAGAGAGAGTTCCTATCTTTGAACGGGATCCGCTGCTATTCCATATTTCTGGCTTGTCGGCGGTGGGAGTGAGGTATTCCGTCGTATAGAATTTATCGCCATCCCCGAAGTGCCTCGCTGAGAGTCGGGAGCAGAGGTTAAGGAAACGCCTTGTTGGGGATGGGGTGCTATGGGATCGGCTGCTATTCCAAATTTCCGACTTGTCGGCGAAAGCACTCTTACTTGCGATACCGGGCGTTCAGGGGGGGGTCTGCTCTTGTTATACAGTACCAGTAGTAGTGCGATAAGGAAGGCGAACACCAAGGCACCAACAACTCCAACGGCGACGCGCAAAATAAACTGTTTACGGGAAGAAGATCCCGAAGAAAAAATCAGGGGAGGAGAATTTGAGGAAGGTGGGTTCGGGGAAGAAGAGGAGAGAGGTGAGTCGCTGCCCTCAACAGACGGCGGAGGCGGACTGGGCTCAGTCGACGGGGATGCCACAGTGGAAGACCCGTAGTGGTGGAATCCGGGGGGGTTCGATGGGTCGAAGGCGCTGCATTTGTGCAGCGAGCTGCGGTTGACTTGGAATTCATAAATGTGGCCGTTGGGTGTGCTGAGGTACAAGTATAAATCCATCCTGCTAAGTACCAGACGAGACGATTCTTTCATCGCAGGCAACGAGTTAACAGGACTACTCACACTACCCTGTGCCGTGGGGTACATAACATCAGGCAAAGAGCTGTCTTTGATTATCGCCACGGTTTTGTTGAACTTCACCCTCCCGTTTGGTGTCTCAAAGGATAGCAGTCTGATGATTATACTGTCATCAGAGACGACCCTTCCGACGACGAAAAGGTTGCAGTCATCAGACGTCAATGCTGTGGATAAGGGGAAATGAGGAACATCCCAGGACGTGTTGAATGCAGTGAGGACGAGGTTGGTAGTAGCGCCAGTGTCCGTAGCCACACGCCTCACGGCTGAGTTGTCGGTATCGGCGACGTACAGGAAAGTTCCGTTGGATGAAATGGATCGTGGACTGATGCGCGGATGATTGAATCGAACCTGCGACCTATCGGAGGGGGAAGCAAAGCCGGTTTCCATCCCACCGGCAAGCAGCAAGCTGTCTTCGGACTGCTGAAGGTGTCCTTCGACGAGAGGGATGGTGAGAAGACGGGAAGTAGAGACGGCCGCAAAGACAGTAGGTTTCATTGTGTGCATGACCATCCCGTACGCAGGAGAAGTGACATTCGGAATGAAATCTGATGTCATTCCACTGGACGTGTTTACTTTCCAAATGCCCCCGCCAGTGCTGACGCCCGCGAGAATCCATAGGTCGTCCTCCAACGTCAACGACTCAAGTGAAGCGAACGACCGACCATCACCTCCCAGGGATGTGAGATCAGTCAGATCATGGCTTGTGAATGATTGAGATGGTGAGGACGAGGGAGGGGAAGTGGATGACGTGTGACGAAGTTTACGTATCACACTCCGGTTATGGGTCACTTGCTGCGAGAAGAATAAGGTGCTGTCATCGGGGGACAGAAGGAGAGCCGGTATGTAACACCCTGCACAAGGAAAGGTATCCAGCACATCCCTTTGCAGAGTGAGGAGCTTGCTGTCCAGATACGTCGCCGTAATAATGAGCAATTCTCTCCTGTGGTCAGGGTAGTTGGCCATCGCCGACGGAAGCGGAGAACCGACCATGTCAACAGAAGGCTCCATCTCTAAGGACCGCCATAGCCTGCGGGACCTCGACACTTGCCCATGTCCGATGCTGGCATGCATTCCAATCACCGTAGCCATGGTCAATAAGACGAGAAAGGCAAGGCCTTTCGTGCCCAGCGCGAGGAACAATGACCGACATGAGCATGTGCGCGAGGAAGACGTAAGGGCAGCCATTGCCTTGGGATCTGTGACGGTCAGTGCGTCGGTCAGTCACCCTAAAGTGAAGGTTAGGAACGCGATCCTAGCGTCTAACGACTATATACCTATATATCTTTCCGAAAAAAAAATCTATTTTGTATCGCTTCGCACAAGTAGGTGTGCTCTTAGCTCGCTCCACTTTCCCGTTTCACCCCTTTCCTCCCGTTCCTCCCGTTCCTCCCCCTCTCTTCTCTCCACACCACTAAAGTCGAACCTTGCCATCAACGCCAGGTGAAACTTCTCTTCCTTCAGACCTGTGGGCCGTCTTCTGTGTGTGTGTGCGTGATACACACATCACAGGGCACACACATACACATCACAGAGAGCTGCAGGCACTCATATCTCCGCGCACAGAACCTCACAGGCTGGATGAATTCGCTGTCGATCCTCGCAAGGCGACCATGGAAGTGTCACAAACGACACACGCTTGGAGAGGAGCTTGAGGGCAGCAGCCGGGACTGCAGCGCGTCCACTTCTTTCTCAAGTCATGAGGGCAAGATGAGGTCCGTGCATGGCTGAGTCAGGTTCACAGATGATTGCATGCCGAGAATGAAGGACCGATAATTGCATGCCGAGAAAGAATGAAGTCGCTGCTCGCTTTGCCTGCGGACGATCGGAAGCCCTGCGCCGAAAAGGATTGAAGAGGAGAGATCATCAGTAATCTACTAATCTGTAGTCACAAGAGTAGTGTACTGAAGCTCCATTCCTTTGACTCTGATGATCGATTCGCTAACTGCAACCACTCCACTCACACACACAGACAGACAGACATGAAATGCATCCTGGCAGAGTGTCCACTGTCCAGGATAAACGACCTGCTGAGTCGATGAAAGTACGACGGAACGTTCGGTCATACTGACTCCACTTTTTGGAGTCGTAGATGGACAACTGCACGGTGGCATGTCATCAATGCCACATAGGTTCGGAAAGAACTATCCAGTCGAGAGACTATCACAGCATTAAAAGAAGGATCAAGGTGAAGATTAGACGATGATGAAAACTCGGACCGCGAACTCGATTTGACGATGTCCAATGAGCGCAGTGCGAGCGGAGCAGTATACACGTGAAAACAACAACAGGCGTAGTCCCGACACGTTTTTCTGGGCTAGCACGCCAAAACAGAGAGCTAGCTAGCTAGCAAGAGATCGAGTGAGCGAGAGAGATCCAGAGGAAGAGAGAGAGAGAGAGAGAGAGAGAGAGAGAGAGAGAGAGAGAGAGAGAGAGAGA